TGACTATGGTTTCATTAGTAAAATTCTTAGTGAAATCGATCAATTCCGGCCCATCAGACTGGGGTTCCGATACATTCCGACCTGGAATCTTGGGATCTCCCTGTATAAGTTGATGTAAAGCAAAGTGCTTGAGCAACATTTTCGGCCCCGACTATTTAAAATTTTATTTCCGATCATTTGATTTTAGGCACTTAAGAATGCTACATAAAATAAATAAATAAATAAATGGTTAACAGAAGGATACGTCGATGTTATAAAACTAATCCTTCACCCGGTATACAACATATAAAAAATTATTTTACAATACCGCCAGTACATGTTATGATTATAATCCCACATTTTATTATAATAAAATGGTGTGGGATTATAATAATAATATGTACTGGCGGAATGTAAAATAATTTTTATATGTTGCACACCGGTTGAAGGATCAATCATGCAACATTGACATTTCCTCCTGTTTAAATGGTTACGTGTCTTCTAAAATTAATAATAAAAAAAAAAAGCAATAAACAAGTGAATCTATGTCTACATTATTTCACTAACAATTATTTTATAGACAGCTTACAGACAAGATTATTTTAGACGGTTAATTCACAAATAAATTCATTTTGTAGACAATATTTTTCACTGACAATTTTTTTATAAATTGCACTAACTTTAAATTTAAACTTAACCCTAATAACAATAACTAGAATTAATTTGTCTGTGAAATCAGATGCCGGTAAATAAATAACTATCTATGAAACAAACTTAGCTATGAATTATTGACTGTAAATTAACCTTGCTTATAATTTAACTCTCTGTGAACTAAGGGTGTTCTCAAGCATCAACCTAGATACGTGATCGAAATAATGCACAAGTATTACGATGTAATTTTTAGCTACTGTCATAACATTTGGATAAAAGTCAATAATACGAATGACGATATGCCCAAAAATTACTATTACTGTAATTTTCTAATAATTGTAGTGATGCTCAATTGCAACGATAGATCAAAGTAAAGACTTCTTTCACTACTTGAGATAATTCTGAATAGTTATTGAAAATTTACAAAAAATTTGTGTCGATTATGAAAATCCATAATAAAAAGTATGAAACACTTGAACAATACCTTACTACTTCAAGTTTTATAAAGTTTTGATAAGTCAACGCAGAAAAAAAGGTGGCTCCGGGAAAAAAGTTTTTTGACTAAAATAGTAAACTCACTGTTCTTTTTTTCTATTTAAAATTTTTCTTTCATGCAATAAACTACCCTACTTATCTTAATGACAAGCTCGATTGATCAATTAAAAATACTTTCTGTTAATTAAATTTTAATTTCCGACATATTTTCGACATACTTTGATCTATTAATTGAAGCGCTTGAGAATGCCCTAAGTTATCATTGAAGTAATTGTTAGTGAGTTGATAAAAACTTAAAATCGAATTCATGTATCTAAATAAATCGCAATAAACGCAATTTGAGTTTTAAGGCAGTTTATGATAATGATTCACCTTGAAATCATAGATTTTTAATACCCAAGATTTTGCGAACTCAGTAGGAACCATACACTATTGTTGATAATTGTTTAATTTTTTCAATTATCGATCATGTTATTTAATATAGGTTTGGAAAGGATCACCAAATTCTCACTATGGCCTTTAACATTAGTAATTATCAATTCAGCTGTCGGGTAAAAAATTTCAATACAAAAAAAAGATAATAAGCACAAAATGAAGAACTCACAAAGCCAAAATTTTTACCATTTAAGATATTCATTTGTAATTTTTTTTGAATCAAAATTTTACGATTTTTTACTATAATGTGTGTTCAAATTACATTTATGATGTGATCTTCATAATATTTATGTGGCTGCATCAAAAAGCTAACTATTTTGGGACCACATGTATTAAAAACGTAATTTTTACATCACCTTGCATAAACACTAATAGTCTGTCGCTACACTTCTTGTACTGTATACTAGGAAAATGTAAAGCATTGTTAAGATCTGGAGCATATCATATAATGATCATCTTATTACACAAATGCGTGAATATGCATATTTTGTTAACAAATTTGAACATGTGTGCGGACAGACAAAAAATTTCCAATTTACGTTTTCTAACATGATCTTCATAATATTTATCAAAAAGTAAAGCTCGGTGGCTAAATGTATCACTTAACGTAAACACTAGAGTCCTCTGCTACACTCTGGACCAATTATTTAATAATAATTTTTAAAAACACAGGAACTCCCTAATTTGCTCAAGTAGATCCTACCAAAAAAAGAGTATATGTGGCAAATGTATTATCACTCACAGAAATCCAAAAGGAACTAAATTTATAATTGCAATTAACGTTGTACTAACTGGTCCTTTAGGATCAAATCCTAACTGGTCTAGTCTGATCCTTCAAGGATCAGTAGGGATTCAATTCTTAAATCATATGAAAATACAATACATTTATAAGACTAAGATCCTGAATTGAATTATTAGAACAATTCAAAATTAATTTGATTGAATGACTTATTTAATAGAATCAATTCAACCTATAAAATATATTATGTTTTCATATTATTTAAGGACCGAATCCAGGTGTCTAAGTGCGATCCATTTTTTATATGTAAAACCGATTCAACCCGGTTAAATACATATGAAAAACACTATATAAACATGTAAACACATCGATTAGTGATACATTTAATCTTTAATCAACTACAATAAATACTGCTATTCCATTTATCTATATAAATTTACGGCAAAAGTCAAGGATCCTGTTATCGCTATGGAATATTTTTACAGTTTTTTTTTAAAAAAAGATGACAACACAAGATAAAATTACTGTATATATATTTCTAGCATTAATTAAGTTTCTTTTTCAAATAAAATAGGTTGGCGATTTATATATGAATATACTATTAAAAGCTTATTATATTTATTTAGAATAAAGAAAAAATGTTGCCCAAAATAACAAAAAACAACTCCTTAATTATTATATATACATTTAGAACAATAAAAGAAAGAATTTACAACTTTCTAAAGCTCAAGTACTTGATGCCACTGCCCAGTCTCTTGCTGCCACCACTCAAGCACCTATTTTTTCCAGCTGTACTAAAATTCTGACTCTTGCCGAACTCCTTAAAAAAGACAAGTTTATTGTGTTTCTACGAGAGTTCAATAATGATTCTGTTAAACATGTGGGTGCCTATGAAGGCTATTACTATTCTCATTTGCACATGCTAATAAAGTACATTGGGCACCTATACAAAAGCAAGAATGCTTCAAGCTGAGGCAGGACAGATATGTGGGTGGCAACAAAGAAAGCAATTTACTATATAGAATTTAAGCATTGCACCCAAGAAACGATGAAAAAATCATCGATTTCAAATCTGGTAGAGCAAGCAGTTGATCAAATCTTTGAGAAGGAGTACTATGTGGGTAATATCGATTATATATTCAAAACCCAATTCGCAGTTGGTTGTGTCTGCTTTACCAAGACGAGAAAGATTTGCAGCGTGGTGTGCAAGAATTTATTGTTGAAGCTGGGGGTTTAAATAGAAAAGATTTGGATATCTATATGGAGGGGTTCACTTTTTAATCAATTTTAAATATTATAATTTGAATTTTACTATTATTTGAATTGGTTGTTTACGAAATAATTTTGAAATTTATCACTATGATAACCCTCCATAATATTGTGTGACTGATTAGAAATAACTGTAATCGGCTATTTAGTACTAGCCTATGACACGTGGCTTTGCCATGAACATTTTTATATTCTCCTACTTAATGATGGAATAAATGGCTGAAGTGGAACAAGAATTAGAGTACAGCATTCTTAATACAATAAAGAAAATTTATCAAATGAGAATGCCAACCAAGAAAACACATTTATAACCAATGTTACTAGATTAAATGCTTTTATTTAACATAGTACGTGTATAGTTTATTTTTTTATACAAATTTGAAATCCGTTCATTTTTTTACTTTATTGATCGTTAATTTACGTTGGTTCAATGCCCACGCATCATTTGGTTCAATCTCTAATGATTTATCTAAATCTGCAAGTGATTTCTTATATTTTCCCATCATTCGGTAAGTTACTCCACGACTACTTAATTCAAACGCATTATTTGGTTCAATCTCTAATAATTTATCTAAATCTGCAAGTGATTCCTCATATTTTCTTATTATTCGGTAAGCTACTCCACGACTACTTAATGCTTCTACATTATTTGGTTTAATTTCTAATGATTTATTGAAATCTGCAAGTGATTCTTCATATCTATCCATCATGCAATAAGTTTTTCCACGACGTATCAATGCTTGTGCATTATTTGGTTCAATTTCTAATAATTTATTTAAATCTGCAAGTGATTCTTCATATCTATTCATCATATGATAAGTTTCTCCACGGCTACTTAATGCAAATGCATTGTTTGGTTTAATCTCTAATGATTTACTTAAATCTGCAAGTGAATCTTCATATCTATCCATCATGAGATAAGTTTCTCCACGACTTCTTAATGCTTCTGCATTATTTTGTTCAATTCCTAATGATTTATTGAAATCTGCAAGTGATTCTTCATATCTATCCATCATGTAATAAGTTTTTCCACGACTTATTAATGCAAATGTGTTATTCGGTTTAATCTCTAATGATTTATTTAAATCTGCAAGTGATTCTTCATATCTATTCATAACGCGATAAGTTTCTCCACGACTTCTTAATGCTTCTGCATAATTTTGTTCAATTTCTAATGATTTATTGAAATCTGCAAGTGATTTTTCATATCTATTCATCATGTAATAAGTTTTTCCACGACTTCTTAATGCATGTGCATTATCTGGTTCAATTTCTAATGATTTGTTTAAATCTGCAAGTGATTTATCATATTCTTTCATTTTATAATAAGTGACTCCACGATTTTTAAGTGCAACCGCATTATTTGGTTCAATATCTAATGATTTGGTTAAGTCTACAAGTGCCTCTTTATATCTACCCATAATACGATGAGTTTCACCGGTTTTTCTTAATTCTAATGCTTTATTTGATTCAGCAATAGGAATACTATCTCGTGAAGGTAGTAATATAGGTAGATTAATGCGAGGTGGTAAAACATGTGAAGTAATAGTAATAGTCTTATTTGGCGCCATAAATTTTAGCATGATATCTGCCCATAAAGTTGGTTCAAGGATTTTTTGATAAGGTCGAATTTTATCATAGACATCTTCACCAGAGATTTGAAAATAGCGAATTAAAGGGAGACAATTTTGAAGTGAATTTTTTAAAGTTAAAAAATGTTCATCAGACCATTGATCAAGGTTAGGAGGTAGAGAAGAATTTTGAGCAATTCCCCACTTAATAACATAATCCCAAATTTTTCCTTCATCCATTTGTAAATTATCAAGCTTTAAGATAAAAATTAAAATATTTTCTGAAAGAAAAAGAAATTCATCCGAATCAAAAATAATATTCGGATGTTTAGCAATAATATTTGTGCAAAATTGTTGCAAATCTTTTAAATTATCGTTCTTAAAACTAGCTTGATAAACACGAGAAAAGTTAAGACGCAACTAGGAAGAATTATTCTCAAGTAGAAATAGCTGAATGTGCTTAATCAACTCTTCAAGACCAAATTCACTAGAAGCAATTAAAAGTTCGAAAATAACTGAGGCATTGGCTTTTTCTAAAGGAATGGTGCCATTATAAATATACCTACATACAGTATATACATATTTATTAATACTTTTAACTATTGCATATTATATCTGATATGTTTATTTATTAATACTTACTTGATGATAATATCGAATACTTCGACGGAAACATTAGGTTGCTTTATCATTTTTACATTATTGTCATTATAAGTAATTGCTCCTAATTTATCTTTAAAATATAAACATCGAAAATTTAGGATGACAGAATGTACTTTAAATGCTTGAATATTTGGTTTCTGACCAACTTCAATAATAACATTGTATTCGTCACTGTTTTTAAGAAGTTCGTTTAAATTACTAGAAAGTTGCTCGAAAAACTTAGCCGTCATGATAATGAAATTATAATCAATTTAGTAACAATTATCTCTTAAACTGGAGAAAAATTTGGCTTGAAATTTTTAATCTTTATGTAAATTACTACTGCATAAAAAATTATAGTATATATGGTGCAAACCATACAACAATATAAAATTAACATTTATTTAATTATTTATACTCGTAATACTCAATAAGACATAACAGATAAAGGTACGGTACACGTTGTACACCAACATAACTTTGTGGTGAGTTTTTGTTGTGCATCCTGTGTTCTGCCATATTTTTTAAATTGGCACAAACACAAGAACATCGCTGTTTACAATATACCGGTCAAAATTTCCTGTGATGTAAAATGATTTTTGCAAATTTTGATATTTGTAATTTGACTAGATCATCTTTTTTCATGTATATAATTGTTGGCTCATTTTTAGAAAGTATTAACTATACTAGTATCTAAAAAAAAAAAAGCAATAGCATCCAATATGGTATACAGGAACTTGTATACTATAATAAACTTACTATTTTATTTTTATAAATAAAAGACAACAACGTAATAAAACATAATTTGGTATTTTCAAACCCATTTAATTTTTGAAAGAATAAAATAAAAACATGGCAAATAATATAATAATCAAGCTCAAATCCCAATTTAAAATATTTCTCTAATTTTGTAATAATAGTTTGAAATTGGTGTTGAAGAATTTGAAAGTAAAAAAGTTATCATTTTATCTTGTAAAACAAGAGTATTAATCTTTAATAATATTATAATATCCAATATTTTTCCATAAGATAATAAGATTTGGTAAATGTGATTCGCTGATCTACGGTCCGGATTATTAGTTCTTTGTATTATCCAACAGGAGAAACCGTCCAAATATAGATATGATTTTCATTCTCCGATACACAGATCACTCTTGTATCGACCAGTCAAAATATCACAACGGGATTAGTCAACCAATCAAATTGCGAAATTTACAAAAAGACGAAACCATGGGATTCAAGGGGATTCAAAAAACATGTTGTAAAGCAAAGGGAGAGCTTCATATTTGTTTAACTATTTTCAATATTCATAGAAAAGATAAGTCAAGCGAGCCTTCCAAAAAAGTATTGTAAAATAATATAAAAAAATTTTTCATCAATTGTGTAACGATTTTGTGACGTATCAACGGTTCCTCCTGTTGTATTATCCGTATATTTTAATCAATACCGATACGTACAATCTTAAAGCATCGCGATCACATTTTTACTAACTTGTATATGATAAACTTTTTTCATTGTATCGGACCTTGCGCTAATCCAACCAAAATGAATTGAATTGTATTTTAGAACGTCAAAATCGAACGTGTACCTATCTATGATTCTTATTCCAATTTTTCTTAGTTCAACCTATATTTCGTTCACTTATGTGGTTGAAAGATTACCTAATAGCTATTAGAATAATTCAATTCGTTATTGTGGGATATTTTTCATTCTTAGTACGAAATTTTATAAAGCTACTGTTATTATTCTTGGTTACTGTAATTAAAAAGATGCCTTGTTATTGACTTTTTAACTCATTTTACAATGTTTGCGCAGTAAGTATTGTTTATAATCATCACAAAATCCTTTGAGCGCAATTTCATTAACATTATTTTAAAATTCGTACTGTATTGTGCTTGGTACTATTAATTTTGTGGTGGGACTTCCTAAGCTTATTGAGACATTTATAGGCGGTAAGATCCTTATGTGTGCTTGGAAATCAGTTGTAATTGATATTTATTCCATTTCTCATTGTCTAGGATGGCGCTTGACACGCGTTTGTTTGCCCTGCACATTATTTCGCGGTAATACGGTAACAAATAAATTTTATTTTAGCTTCATTTGATATTTTTTTTTACAATTTTCAATTTCGTTAGCTTCAACTTTTAGTTTCATCAGTTTTGCTATGTTTCTCCAGTTACGCCAATTTTAGGTTCGTCAGTTCCGCCGTGTTTCGCCATTTCACATTTTTTAGAATTTTTTTTGGTGAAAGGCGAAACTAAGACTTCGACCTTTTAACGCGAAATCTCAAGATTTCGTCTAACAACTATACTTTTCGTTAACATCGAGACTTTAAAAAGTTTATAAAGATATAATTCTTTATAGTGGTTAATGAACAAACTACTGCATTAATTTTCCATTTTAATAAAATTCTTTTTGAATAGATGGCTGAAGTGGAACAAGGGTTAGGGTTTAGTGTTCTTAGTACAATAAAAACCCTTATCAAATGAGA